CGTCTACTTCCCAAGCATTTATGATTCGCCGCTCGAGAGGAGCAAAGCGTGTTGTTGCACAAAAACGGTCAAAAAATGTTTGCATTGGTTTGAAATCCGACAACAAACTTCGCTAGCAGGAGAGAAGACAAAATAGTTGTTTTGAGAGAACGCTGAATTCAGTTTACGAGTCGAAGCTTCCGTGTCACTACTTACGCAGATATCACATCTCGATAAACAGATGTCCAGAATTAGGTCACAGTTATTGTAAATATGGTTTGTCCTGTCTTTCGCGTAGATAGATTATCACAAAAAACTCCACCTTAAAGATGAATGGAGCATGATTATTTCAAGTATTTATCCATCAACGACATTAACTTCATTGTAAACCATAAATTTTCATTCACCTGCATTCATTGGGGATAGGCTTGAAGGAACACACTTTACTAACCTGGCGCGACGTGTGAGGCATAATTTTATGAGGGGGGGGTGGTGCTGAACCGATACCTTCGACTTTACAAAGGGAGAGAGAAAAGTACATTCTAAGGGGTGAGAATTGCATTTATTTTTCCTATGTAGCTCCCACATAACGATTAACTCGTCTCTGGAATGCTGCCTCAACACAGAAAGATTTGTCAGTATCGATGAATCATTGCAGAACAGCCCGATTCAATTCAGCAGCCGTGGTGATTAAGAGCGAAAAGCTGTCTTAATGCATAACGTGGGCTTGTTTCGAAATCCCAAACCTGCATGAACGATTGCGCTCAGCGTCGTCACCAACCGACTCACCTCTTACATGATTTCACGGCGGAAATGCGTCAATCGTGTGCCCAGGATTGGGCGTTGCATGCCCTGATTGAATGATCGTGATGCCGAATCACTGTTGCAGTATCGCTGGCGTACAGAAGTGCAGCTGACCGTCTTTGAGACATGGAGATCATTGAAATGCAAAATTTTCAGGCGGCTAGCCAAGCATTCCATCATTACGGTCACTAGCATGTGTAGACATCCACCAGTTTGCGTTCCACGCCTTGGTTCAGAAGACACACTGATCACCACAAGACGCTGTTGTCTGCTACCTTGATAAGCAATGTTTGGGTGTCTGGACGTGCCGAGAACAAAGTTCCAGACAATAGGAACAGAAGTGAGGGCACAAGCTAGTTAGCGGACAGATGTTTAAAATTTTCACGTAAATAAAAACACACCTCATAATCTACTCAATTACACCCCCATAACGTGGCTCAAGGAAGGTATTGCCACGGTGGATAAATAAACTAGGAGACCAAGCTTTGCCATACAACAAAACCATGACATGATTTGCCGTTCTGACCACAAATTTTTCCTTAACAAATTATCTGCGAAAAAACAACATTAAGCCAAATGACTGCATTTATTTTGAAAAGAGGGCATCAACCAAGATCCTATAGAGGCGGAAAGGGAATGCCTTACTTTGCACGTGATGAGATGATCCTGTCACCACTGGGGTTGCAGTTTTCTCACACTAAAACGACAAGTCTTCCGCTTGGGACACTAATACTACTTCCGGTTGTCACCTTCTCCCAGATGACACAGGTGGAAAAAAAGGGGGCGTGAAATGAGCAGCGCCGCATCATAGCAGCTTTCGCTTGCATGGCAAAAGAAACATTCAACTAGTAGATTTGACTTCCGGAAGATGAAAAAGTCACGCTTGCAATCCAAATATCCACCTATCTCCAATTTCCTTCACACTAAAATGCGACATTGTGATATGGAGAAGAGATAACGTGGGGTGAGATTTGCACTTGACCACAGTGCTCACATTGTTTTTGCGCTGGCAATTTCAAAACCCCTTATGAATATTTTCCCACCTTTGCAGGGGATTTCCCCATCATTGTTAACGCCCTTTGCATTAATAGGAATTGGGAAAAGTTTTTTAAAGCGTACAAAAGCAGCTCTGTAGACATATTGTTACTTATTTTGGTAGAAGGTAAGTAATGGGTTTCAGAAATTTTCAACTAGAGTGGATGGAGAACGAAATATTCTCCCCATTTTCTTTTATCAAGTCTGTTTTCGGCCTCCAAATTGGTAAGCTATAAATCTGGCTCTTATGTGGGATTTGTGGAAAAGTCGTCCATTAAGACATAGTTAACAATATCTTCAATGTCAATGCCATTACCACTTGTGAAATCTAAATTAAGATTCAAGAAAAAAAATAACATAAGAGCAACTTATTTGTAATCACATAAATTACAAGTCTTTTTGGAATAAAATGCATGCATCACCATCATCACTACCTGCACTCGAATCTCTGGCAATGTTGCCATTACTGGCCAAAAAATAGTGGAGATGGAATAAGGTATCCTCTCGATTCCACCACCATTAGCATCTCAGCTACGACCCTACTCAAACGGTATCGTAAATGGACTGATTGAATGACTGGCCTACGCCAACTCCAGCGCGGTTGGGCAAATTAGTTCACGACGTATTCTGATCACTGGAATTTCGGCAAACTTAAAGAAGTCAAATTCAGAAATTGGAATTCTACTATTTACTAACTGCGAAAAAGGATTTGGGCTAAATGGCACAGCACATCTTTCAGCGTTTGTAGCAGTGAAGAGTATGCATAACACTGGAGAAAGACTATTTTGTTTGACAAACTTCGATTTGAGCAAGTAAAAGGTGGGGGCCAGAGAAATGTCCCACCTCCACGGAATGGTTCACGGGCACCTGTGATGGCCTGATATGGGAGTTGATAGCTAAGAATTTATCAAAAATTGCTTAAAATTCAAATGTGTTAATCAAAATTTGTGTCCCTATGAAAATTTCGGCCAAGAAAAAGAGGCAAGACGGTAATGCAATAAATCACAGGGAATGCATGAAGGTAAGAACGGCAGCAATACTTATCCACCCTCTTCCCCATATCACAAATGTCAAAAAGGATTAGTTGCAACAGATAATAGGGATATTAACATTGGTCATTACCAACCCAATCAACTAGTGGTTAAACAGAAAAAATCCACATGAAGTACCTATTTTAGTGAACAAACTTAGAAAAAAAACGCTGATAGAGCTTTGCAAATAAGCAAAGGGGCGATTAACTCATTGTTTGTCGCTAGTGCTAACAGTAACATGGGGGTAATGAGACAACGATGGTGCAGCTATTAACACTTCAACTGCCAGAGTCAAAGTCAAATTCCCTTCATTGTTCCAAAGTAACACCAACACTTGCACTACCGAAGTAGGCGATTTTCGTAACTAAAGAAAAAGTGTTCTTGCCCTCCGAAATGATAAACATGGTACATTCAAGTCACAGACGTGTAACACTTGGGCCCAGGTGGCAAAATTATGCGTCACATATGTGTGACACTGGTAGCGAACGTGTTATTAAGGGACCCTGAAGGGAATAGAAACCAGCAACGATAAAATAAAATTTCATTGATTTATTTTTTGCTAATGATGGCTAAATCCGTCTGCATTGCTATCTCTATTCCGCTTAATTGAAACAAAGATCTCATGTTACAGTAAAATTTGGAGTTCCAAACCCATTTCCATATTTACAAAAAATCCCAAAACGAAAGCTCCGAGGGGGTATATTTGACACAAAATACCGAGGGAACCAAGACAGGAGGAATGTAGCAGAAAAAATGCTACATAAACAGGCTGTATAAGAAGGGAAAGGGAGTGGAATAGCGCAGAGAAATATTAACTGCAAGCCTGTTCTGCTGTAGTGAGCAGAGAAAAATTGTTTAAATTTTGCCCAAGTCCCATGAACAGAAGCAAAATGCAATTTATTACTATGAAATATCAAAACGAAATGCCTATGCATTTTGCCTCTCCCAGTGAACACAAAGCAAAATTTAACCCAAATAAATGGCATAAAAGTAGCCACTAAGTGGAGAATAAGGGATCCCGAGCCAGATGGGAATTCTAGAATTCGGCAATTATTTAAGCTTCCTTACTAAAAGACTCATACTTTAAGATTGAACATTCAATCGTCAGCCCTCCTCCTTAGCCAATTCGCTTGGAGGTCGTGAGAAACGAGCCGACAAAATGCACCATGATGAATGCAATCAAGAGCCTTCCTGCCGCAGTGAAAATTCCTCTTGGCTAACGCAGCGGCGTGTAACAGACGAAAATGGCAAAGAAATTGCCCAAAACAAGACACTTTTCAATGTCTAGCCTCGGACGCATGCATTCTGCTGTAATGTGGTAATCTTCGCATAACACGGCGGTGGCTTCCACGCTGCGATAGAGTCTGTGCAGATTACATTTATTGTTAAAGTAACTTTCTCTGTCTCCAATGACCCAGTCTTTTTCATGTCACCAGTGAAGTTAAATTTCTATACTAACCACAAATCTATCTCCATACCCATGCACTCTATACCTTTACCAGGAGCTAAATTAGTCGTTGTGAGGTGAAATACACCTTAAATATTAGACCTTGCTTTGATACTTGGAGTGTTTATTACCACGGAAGGAGCATAATAGAAGATACAGTGAGCTGCCTAAATCGCGGTGACCGATAAAGCCTTGTCAACCTCTGCCAAATAGCTTAAACTCATGATCAGTAATGCCGCAGGATCTTGCCTCAGCGAATACAACCTGTTGACACACGAAAAAAAAAAACTTAGAATGTTGACAGACAAATTGTGGATTACGAAAATTTATCAGTAACTAAGACCTACATTCAGATGGTTGAAGTGAAAAAATTGGATTCAGGAGGTAGTTTGAAGAGGCTGCCTTATGATGTGTATCTCAAAAAGTGGGTTTTACAAAGAGGAACTGATCCACGAAGCGCACTCGTTGTAGGACACCATTACAAATGATTCTTTCCAAGCAAAAAGGTCCAGCTAAATCCACTGGAATTGGCGAAAGCTGCAATTATCGTATGCTTTTCACTCCTGACCAAAACTTAGCATCACATCACTTGATCGACGCGAAAAGGGAATCACTAATAGCGAAGCCCAAAACATGACAATGTTTATAAAGTGGGATATTTGTTTTGCATGTTGCTAAGTTGAGCTTCTCAGCCTTCTGCAAATATGTCCCCCGCGAAGGGAGCACGAGGTTCTGCATGCGTCTCTCAACCGTTCGGTACGCTTACACAATGAATTCATTAGCCAAGCCTTATGTCTTTTAATGCCTTCAATAGCATTCGCAAAATATCAAATAAAATTTTAGGAAAACGTGATGACTGCGGATCAATCTTGGAGATGCAGAAGCGCTCCATCGGCAAATCATAGTACCTCCAACTCACAACCGAAATAATAGCTCATTATTCATAAACCGTCTGGCAAAGGAATTGGAGACAAGGAGGGGAGCTGTGTGGTGTCTCACCCATCACCGTAGTTCAAAAAACATGCGCGGCTCTTTTGATGCCAATTTGCAGACTACTCGCTCACCCAGTCTCCAGAACTACACCGCCTTCTACACCAGTAAAAGTGTCTTAACAATTTTCCACTAAGACCAGTCTCGAGTGTCGCAAAACTGCCCACTCACTCACCCGTGCAGTCAGCCACACACACCACAACAAAAAAACACTTAATGCGGATTTTTAATGTAAAGAGGCATTAAAAATCACCAATGGCTTTGGCCTTGCATGTGTATGCGATTGGGGGAAAAGAGGAAAAACGTAGCCTTCATTTAGTGCTCTGGGTTCAGCCCTCATTCCCCTTCACTTCATTTCTTCCTGTCTTCTTCCCTACCTTAATTGATTATTAATGCCTTCTCCCAGAGGAGAAAGTCAGATAAACAAGGCTAGGTCAAACAGAAGTTTGGGGGCTGAAGCAATGAATACCACACCACACATTGGCATTTTTGAGTTAGTTGTTTTGTTATCATATCTTGAATGTTCGACTTGAAAGAAGGCCTTTCTTCAAGGTTTTGACAGGCAATAAAACCCACGTTATTTCCGTTTACACGTGTCCTCACTGGCTAATGTATGGATGTTTCAAAAGACCATTTCAGTTTGTTAGTATTCTGAGAATACTATTTTTTATTAAAAGACGCTTCGAAAAATCAAAATACTTTTTGGCTTCAAGTCCAGGTTCTGCTCAAACAGCGGGACTACACGTTGGGTGATTTTGACTGTGGAAACAAACCACCCGAGGGATCTAAGACCCGTGTGACTAGCGATAGGCTGAGACACCACTTCCCCCACAATAAAAGAGCTAGCAGCAAGGTTTGGCACAAACAATACTCCATCGCCATCCAACTGTTTATGATGAGTCTGTGATGCAAGAAAAGGATTAAATAGACCAATTTTACGAAAATCAGGCAAACTTTTTGAAATTACACAGTTTCGCAGGAGAGAAAAAGGGCTAGACACAACGTGCCGCTATATTATGATGAATGGATTCTTCCGGGCGATCGTTTGGATAAAGGTAAGGTACCAACGTGCACTTGAATACAAGATAGTAGTAAAAAGGTGATGCTATGTTGAAATCATCTGTTAAAGCCTAATGAAACTAGGGGACCTATAACACCGGTGAATTTCCACTGCAGTAAATCGAACCTACAGTCAGCTAATCACAGTACAAAGTAGCTAGAAGACTCCTAGTCTGATATCTACCATGTTTATTACCAAATTTTGCTTTGAATGAAACACTAAAAATACTCATAGGCTTTAAGAAACGCCCCATCTGTCTTCATCGTTAAGGTGACACAACACTACCACCGATGACAGTTTTGGTTAATGATGCACTGCCTTCCAGTTGACATGCAACTAAATCTAGGTTCAATGCTGGAGCTTGTCCATTTATTCACCCCCCCCCCCCATAGTACCAAAAATGGGATATACATCTTTTCATAGTCAAGTTACAAAACGATGAATCCGATCAAACATTTATCGGGCGGCGTGAAATGAAGTTCATAGCAAAGGCATGAAGTAAACAATACCAAAGTGTAAGAATTTGGGATAATCTTCCCACTTCGTGTCAAGCAGCTTCGAGAAAATGAATTTTAGTGTCATTGACTAACATCATGCAAAAAATAAGAAGTGAAAATTGCGGAAGCCGTAAAGGAGAAGCTTACTTCAAAAGAATCCCCCAAGTAATGACGCAATCTGAGAAATCTGATGAGAAATCAAAAGGATTATATACCACAATGACGCTCCATTCTACTGGTAGGAGAGAGTAATACACCCAAAAAGTCCGGACACCCATGTTTGCCTGTCAACGGTGCTGAACCTACTACCAAGACTCAAGTAAATGCGTCCAAGAAGGAAGGGGAAGATAAGAGTGGACACTAATTGAAAGTAGTCACTCAAATAGCGTTTTTTCTGCCATATCCTAAACTCCTGCTTATTTTCTAGCTAAATCAGTCTTTTTCAAAAGGAAGGGGGGGGGGAATAAGTTAGCCGCGCTCACGGAAGCCCGGAATTCGAAAGTGGGTAGGCGTAGAGACTGTGCTAGATATTGACAATTCCGCCTCTCCTCAATGAGCTAACTCAACCGTAAACATAGGCACTTACTCCGAAATCGTGCTCTAGGATTATGACAGCAGGTAATTGAATAACAAGTTGATTAAAAACTAATAAATTTCTGCAGGAAAATAGCAGCCATCACTTTGATTAAAGTCGCGAAAAAGACTCGAACGCGGGTTCGTACAACGAAGTTTAGCTTTCTTATAATGACCTGAGAATCCTCAACCGTCAAAGCCTACTCATATGGCATCAATCGAGTTGAAAGAACAATCAAGAAAAAGAACCAGGAGTAAGGAGATGAGTCTTTAACACTGTACTATCTACAGCATTCGGTCAGCCGAAAAGAAGCAGGTGGTAAAATGGAGTCAATCATTCATAATCTTTTTTACTCGTATTCTAGTTCCTAGAAATCACCTACCTGCTTACTACTAAGACAGCAAAAAGACGCGTACACCAGCTTCAATAATTCATTCCTGACAGTTCGCGGTCATGGTATCAGTGCCATTAGGAAGAGCAGTGCCAATGAAATCCGCCAAAGTAGCACCGCCACATCTCATGGTAATGCTATGCCAGTAAAAACACCGCGGCAATCTCAAGAAGCCATTTCAGTACCTACACAGCATGAAATTGAAAGAGGTAGATTTTGCGGAGCCAACGCCACGACACCGCATGATTACAATGGCCTCAGCTAACTGACAGGAGGTGGAGAGGACTTTCCTTAAAGTAAAGAGGTGCTGTAATAATATCCAACAATTTTTTTCCCCATTACTCCTCCCTCCCCTCCCCAGGCAGAAACAACAGTGGAGGAATGATGAGCAGCCGTAGACGACACAACAACCAAAAAGAAATGAAATTGCAAAAAAATGGAGAGTACGGAAACACCAAAATAGCAAAAAACATGCGTGACAAAATTAATTACTAGTCTGTGAGAACGTGAATTAAACAAAGGTTCAATGATTATAAAGCAACTGGAGAAGTGGGTACCCTACTAGGGAATGATGCAATTTAAATCGGTCAAAATCTTAATAAATCGGTTTTAAATAAATGCTTAAACCTAGAAAGGCATCCTAATACCTAAGGTAACAGATATAAGGCTCCTTCTAACCCTGATTATGTCTTCAGATCGCCATAATCTTGTTGACGACTGCGTCAACAAAAGTAACTCAATTCCTTCCTCAGCTGCAGAGTGGTGAATCGGTAAACGTAAAAAGGCCTAAATAATCTGAGACTTCCAATAACCACAGTTTAAAAACACGGTCCGTTGACTCCGGTTAAATAAAAACCCTGGCCATAAATCAGCTCTGAAAAGTCATGCCTTTTAACCTTCTCAGCCTTAGAACGGTGACGCGAGTTCGCTGAGAGAGGTAGTAGAACAATAAGATAGCCTCGGCACCAGCTAACTTCCTACAAAGCAGCTACTGATATTTGGAACCACATCAAATTTCTATTCACTACACCTAATATGAAGGCAAGATCGAGGGCAGACAAATTTGTTTCTGACAACGTAAGCGGTAAAATTCGCAGAACTGGTTTCTATCCCTCGTAGAAGAGAACTGCCAATTGCCCAAGTAGGTGATCAGACAGGCGTGAAAATGGTGGATCGCTTAAGACTAGAAAATAAGGAGTTTTTTGTTAATTAATGCGCACGCTCTCCAGGGACTCCATCCACCCCTCTCCCATCCTGCATTCAATGCCACTCTTCCCATTTACTTGGACAACTCGACTGTGAAGGTCACAGATTTTCAAGAATTGCACGCCTTCAAGTGAGAAAGGAAGAGGAATAGGGTGAGATGCGGTTTATTGCAGTTTTCCCCAAACAATACTTCATTTCGATACAAGTAGTATCTTTAAACCTGCCCCCTCATCCAATATCAAGGAGATGGCCAGATGAAGGGGAAATCATGGAAAAAAACCGGGTACGCCCAGGAGTTCACCTATCAAGGGCCAAAGCAGTGAAGTTGTGCTGCTCACTATTGCGCGGCTGTCAGATTTGTGTCAGTGGCAATAAATCTTACTTAGCCACGGTTTTCTCAAATGACAGAGTTTAGGGTACTAATGAACAGAACGATAGATATCCCCTTCGCCTCCTTCGCCAATTAATATTCGCAGGAGCGGCAACCATGAAGTCACGAACCGACTGCTCAGGTAAGGTTTCGATACGGTCGATTAGCTAGGAGTACATTTAGTTTCCATTGGTTAAATGGGATGATTTTTGAGGGAATCTAACCACACCATATTGCTACAACGTCTCCCAAATTGTCGACTCATTTTTCTTGGAAAAAAAATCAACCTAGAAACACTCGAAAGACACGAGTATCACAGATCCCGGTTAAGACCACCAAAGCCACTGTAGGGGGACAGGCGATTCACACTCCAATTGGGGTGGAAGGAGTGCGGTTATATTGCTTTCTTCAAACAGTCATAAAAGGCGGTTTATTTGAAACGCTTGTGTACAAAATGTCGGTCACTTTTAATCGACACCTAACAGCATCTGCCCTGGATGTTGATAACTTCCACTTGTGTGACTGCTCTTTGATTCGAGCACGGCTGAGCAGATAACTGTGGATTCACAAAATCATCAAGACGAATTACTAAGGCGTTTACTCTCACTGTAAATAAAGCCCCCATTTGCATGTTTCGTGGTTCAGAAACCCAACAAACACGGTTTCACAAGTCCTTATCTCATGACCAATAGCAATGTGAGGGTTTTTTTCATGTTACTTTCCCTGCATCTTCCGGTTGCTGCATTTGAGTCTGTTGGGGCATTAAAATTTGGTGTCCTTAATGTATTTCATAATAAGTGACCACATAAGGCGTAATGTATATTTTCACCTACAATAAAAGCGGTTCACCCTTCTCGTCTGAGTCGTTAACTACATTGATTCTGAGAAAATTTCGTTCGCAAACGTATTCTAGGCATCCTGACTTTAAATCGGAAAAGAGTTGTGAATATGTCTCCGTCTCCAGTGTCAAACAAGGCATGCATAAATTACGGCTCAGCTTCTCAACAGCAAATCCGCATCCAGGCATTGGGGGAGGCCTCAAGAATCTTAAAAATGTATGATCGAGGAGTCTCATGACTACATTACTCCTAACGCTTAGCACCCTGGCAACTATGGTTGGGACGTCATTGAGAGGGAATTATCAACAATGAATCGAAACCATTTGAGAAACGCATATGGTTAGTTTTATAAGCACCAAAATCTTGCTCTTGTAATACTTGCGCTTCTAAAAGGCAAAATTATTCCCCCAAATAGCCAACGTCCCCTTCGGGAGTTTGAGTCCTCGAAAAGACGTGAAAATTATTAAGGAGGAAGCTGCGGGAAGGCAGGGAGGAGGAAAAAGAGGTGAGATCAACAACGTACTTTGTCTTCTGACCCTTCGCCTAGGCAAGGAATGCTTAAAATTAGCGCAAGTGACAAAAAGTCCACCCTGTTTTTTCTCTCCGATCAGGAGTAACAACTTATACTCTATTTATGGGAACCTAGGTCATAAAACGCATTATTTTAGTAAACAGCTGAAATTACTACAAAGCCTGCACCAGGAGAGAGCAAGTGAGCAGGAATTGGTGTGTGCGCGTCATGGTTTGTTCCCTCCAAGCGAGACAGTCAACCCAGTGAGTCTAATGAAAATCACTTTCGTGACAAATCACAGGGGATATAGAAAGGGAGCAAACATGGAGTGAGCGGACATTTTGGTCGTCTCTAACAGTCTCCAAATTGACCCGATTCAAATGGAAAATGGACTAGATGATTTGAAAATTATTCCCGGGAGAAATTAGTCCCCTCTCTTTTGCGAAACAGATGGTTTGTGTGTTCTAACTGGTCCAAAATGCCAAGTCAGGCTAGAGGGTATACAAAAGAGACGAGAAGGGGAAAGGTAAAGATAATTCCTTCCGACCTGAATAACAAAAGACCAAGGCACAAACAGAAAACAAGGGCAGTGTTTCTTCATTTACAAACAGTACTTATGGCTCCCAACCGACAATGGGTAAAGAGATCATGGTATTTACTACAGATTTAGCAGTGGTTGCGATTACAATACATTACATTTCCTTGATTGGAAAGTAAAGTTGACGACAAAGGAAGAAAAAATCATTAATGCTCCCTATACAAAGTTCTGACCAGAGAGCAAGCGGTGTGAGTTTAGCGTGGAGACGGTCGCCTCTCGAGTCAAGTGGGATCGTTGGGTGTGGGACAAGCCATTCAGACCTGAGAGAAACGATCCTCCACCCTCTCCCAGACCTCGGAAAAGGTTCAACAAATCAATGGGCAAGGGAAAGACGATGGTGGAGTTCTTCTCCGCAGAAATCCCCGCCAGAGTCTGAAGGTAGCGCAGCTGTAGGGCGATCGGACAGGCAGAGATCTCCATCGCTGCAGCCTTCAACGACTTGGAGGCGTCTTCCTCGCCCTTAGCTGCAATCACCTTTGCTCGAGCCTCCCGCGTGGCCTCCGCTTCCGCCGCCATCGCGCGTTGTAGCTGGAGGGGCAGACGGACGTCCTTTATTTCTACACGTTCCACCTTCACACCCCAGGTGTCCGTTGCGGTGTCTAGCGTCTCCTGCATCATCGCAGCTATTTCCTCTCGGTCGGTGAGAAGAGCATAGAGGTCCACTGTGCCGAGAACATTACGCAATGTTGTCTGAGCCAACAGACGCGTGGAACGATTTGCATTCTCTACATTCACTACTGACATAACAGGATCGAAAATGCGATAGTAGACAACGGCTTCAACCGCTACGGTGACTGAGTCCTTAGTGAGAACCTCCTGGGTTGGCACGTCAAAGGTGAAGGTTCGTAGATCTACCCGACGCATTCGATCGAGAAATGGGAGCTTGAAGATGAGCCCAGGGCCCAGCGCAGAACTGGAAATGAGTCGTCCGAGACGGAAAATGACTGCTCGCTCATACTGAGGAATCACTCGCAGGCAGGCGAGGAGGGAGAAGGGAAGACTGATTATCACGAGAGCAATCGCAAGTATTTTGAGCAAACGCTCGCAAATCAGTGCTCCAATAACACTAAGGCTCTCGCGGGCCACGCGTCGGTTTCGAAGGGCAGCTAATTGGGTATCAGTGAAACGCTCGGGCACTAGGGAGAAGCCACGCTTGAGAGGCTTCCGGACGGGCGAGTGAGTGCGCGTTTCCGGTGGGAGCATTCCGTTAGGGAGAAGCGTTAGGCATTCCAGGGCGAAGAATTTCGGCTTCGGCCATGACTTGACTCGAGAGGCGTTCCGTTACCTACTTTTATATCAACACTGGCATTGGTCTGTGCAGGTTTAACCAATCAGAGGAGTAAGAACATCTTAGCTATGGTGTTCATCAACATTTCTACTGAAGCTGTACGAGTACAAACATTGCATTCTGACGACTTGAGTTTGGGGAACTGGACCAGTGCACTAGTTCAACTGCATTTTGACAACAAAATCAGAAAATTGGAAAATCAAAAGTGATCACTAGGAATAAGTACCTACAGAAGTTGCATTCGGAAGAAACTACTTGAAGAAAATGTGACAGAATGAAGGACCAAAATTTCCCAAAACTAAATGAAAAAAGGTTAAAGTCAGTGGTACCGTTATCTCGACAAATAAAGCTGTGACTATTATTCAAACGGAATTATAATTATTGACAAGTAAAAACTGGTGCCTTACATTTTGCTAGTATTCAAAGTTCAACAAGTCGCTCAAGAATAAATAGGATAGAATCTCGCATCTATGTGCTCAACCGTAGACTTCAAAAGACCCATTGCACTTGATGAGGTTGAACTGATTATTCACAAGAATTATTAAATTACGCACTACTTTGGTAAGCAAAAATTAACTCCTGAATAATGTGTTAACAAAAATGTTGAAAAGGAAAACCGGAACACTGTTGTCATGGATATTTTCGATCGCGAATAAACTGCGAATTCAAAAATCTAAGTTTTTGGTGAAAAAAAACTTGCGCAATAAAAGGAGGCCTAGAGTCAATTCCACCAATGCATTGGACGGCTGCGATGAACACGTACGACTCCATAAAAAACAGCCTTATTATTCATGATAAAAAGTGGAATGGAGACCCGGCCTACATCGAAAATAAATAGGCACTATCCGACCCGCATTGATAACGCAAGTGTATTACAAGAAATCCAGTCTTCCAAAACCAAGTTTGAAATGTATCAAAAATACAATGCTGCAGCAACTAGAAACCGATAAAAAGACCAAAAAACTCGCCTGCGAATCTTCGCGCACCAATGAATGAAGGTGGGCGATCTTTGAAAGGAAAGCACTTTGTTAAGCTGCTCAGCTGACCGACCAGAAGGCAGGGGTTTTACATTCTCCTTCGATAAATCCCACTCGAAATCAATTTTCACGGGAGAAGTCATCCTAAGATGCGGGTAAACCTTGGTATGAACGCCACACGAAGTCAGCTAAACGAGGAACTCCAGGCACATAGAGCCCATTTGTCAAAACATTACGTTAAATGATTGCGCCTCAGAATCGTATATATAAACAATTTTTTCGGGTGTACGTCCTACTATGCACTGTAAATCTAGCTTCCGTCAAGAAATTTTTAAAACATTATATTATACACAACCGTTTGCGACTTACTTGTAAAAGCGCATTTATGTCAAATGTCCATGTTTATCACCTTAATTGGTCAATTTGTATTTCTGACCGTCATGACTAGAAACGATGATTTGAAAATTCCTTTCGAATGCCTGATGACTTAATTTACAAGAGAACATTACTAATCATTGTACCTGTTATAATCAAAGAAGTGTTGCAACACAAACTTATCTTATTTTAATGTTTCATAAGTTTATATACCTTTGTATATGACGTGCACTAATTTCGCACTTTCATTTTTTTGTGTCTAGAACAAAGTTTACCTACATTTGCAATGTTTTTGAGCTACTAGGGCAATAGTTCGATGGGATTTTTCCTTTTGGTTGAGGTGTATTTATACCATTGGAATATGTTTGCTGTTTACCTCCTCCTCACTGTCTTTTATGCCCCCAAACGAGCAGAGGAGTTAAACAATTACATGTTTTTTTGAGCGGTGATTGCTAGAGGGGTGCAGATATTGCAGTTTAAGTGTATCGAAGCTATGTTCTCACTTCGGAGTCCAATGGTGCCTGATCCAAAACAAGATTCCCACTTCCTCACTGCCTCTCGTCTAAAAGGCACAGTTGAACAAACACGCGCTTACTATCATAATCCAAAAGCCTTTTTTCTCCGTGGTTACAATGAGTGGAAATGTTGTTCTCTGTAGTAGTGTTCTTTCGCTTTAACTGGCAACTGGGACAATTCGCGATCCTTACTAAGCAAAATTCTTGCTTGCTTAGAAACTGTGATAACGACTTCACATTTCAATTTAGCATCGAAAGGTGGATCAGAACTGAATATAAGGTTGCGTGGCACCGGTTCCACTACAATACATAGTGAGGGATTTTCGTTTGAGATAAATAGGTTTGCTTGGAAATGCCTTGAAGCATGCCTTCGAGTATCTCGCTGGTCCATTTATTCAACTTTTCCGATGATTCCAGATTCCCCTTTCACAAATTTCATGGTAACATTTCCGACTGCATTCTAAATAAGCCATCAAGAGTATTCACAATAACTAAATATGCCTTCGAGCACAAATAAGATGAATATGACACCGACCGAAAATGATTTACCACACCTTCGGAGGTAGTGACGTGCTTTGATGCCAGATGTTCTTAGCTGACCCACATCCGCCCCATCAATGTCACTGTGGAGGCAGTTGGTATGACCCCAAGTCTTGGCTTCGACGCCACTGACTTTTTAGCGAAACAGAATCGACTTGTGCAGAAAAAAAAACCTAGTTTACGACAGTGGTACTTCTATCCAATCTTCTAGAGGAGCTTTTCAAGGCCAAATTACAGTTATGGGTTGTAGCTGAAATTTATTCCACCCTAACTAACCGCGTCAACTGTGCCAAAGCGAAAAGCCGTGTCCACCCTCAACAATGCCAAAACATGCAGCGAAATAGCCGCAAGTTCACAGTGCTGAAGAAAGGTCTCATTTGCAGTAAATCAGGCTACCGAACTTGTGGCAAATATTTTTAAAACATTTTCACCCCTTTTCTTCATAATAGTCCTTCTCGGACTCCAAAATTGACCCCGGTCTGCAGCAGTGATTATTTCTATGGGCATTTCATGATGTGAATGCCCTTCCAGGTCAATTAAACTTAGCTGTAACCACAAAATTTTCAAACAATCCGCAGAGCTGTTTCTCCCTCCACTCAAACAAGGCGTTCGCAAAGTGGCACTGCTGTCACCTTTATTTCCTCCCAAAGTAAAGAGAAAACGATGTCAGTTGTGAGTTTGAGACAGGCATAAACTTAGTCGTGAATTCAAACAAATACTTTTACGTCTGTTCAGGCAAGTTGTTAGCGAACATTTCATTGCTAAAATTGTAATCTTGTCACCTCTAGGAACTCCACATTTTACTCCATACAGCAAGAGTGTTCCACGCAATTGGGAAAACACATTTTGAGGCCACACATTACAAATGCATCACTCATCAACCCTCTTCTGACCACACTGTGCCTCAAACCGGTTGATGGCAGCGCCAATTCCCACATCACGACAGTCACCTGCCTCACGATCCATCAGTACACATCTCGTCCCCTCGAAAAGATAATGGAAGCCGAATTGTCTCGAAAAAGACTCATGTGCTGTAGAAATCCTTCAAGCCTCAGCCATGTTTAAGCGCGTTGCTTCGCAACACCTCGCATAACATAATGTACTCATCCGATTCCTCATTTATGGTTTCAACGAAGAGCCATGCCTTCTACACCCAAGTCTAGGATTAATAAGGCGGGTGAACCCCTGAAACACACAGCATTCAGTCGGACCCCCCCACCCAACTAACCCGCTACAATCGCCAATCTTGAGGCACATAAATGTCGGCGTATTTTCTTCCAGCAAATGGCGAACTCACCTCCGGCCACATCCGGCGAAGTGGAAAATAGTGGTAAAATATACGCACCCCCTCTTCAAGGCTTCGTGTGTTTATTCTGGCTAAAATACCAAGGTACTTAAATAAATTGGGTTTGTGATTGGTTTATCGATGTGTGCGCACGTGCCACCGGTGCTCTGTGATTGGTCCATTGGCAGTTGAATGGTTGCCTTTGACCCTTCAGAGGTGAACGACATGCAAAGCTTGGGAATACACCATATCGTTTTTTTTCTTTTTTTTCTATAATTACATGCCTCAGTCCTCTTTGCTTTTATTAACGTCATTGATATTTTTAATGCCACCTTTCTTCACTCCTCTTTTAGCACACGCACGCACTTCTAAGCGTCTCAATCGATTTATGCAAGGCGTTGATTTATGCCTTCGTAGATAGAATGGAATAGTGGAACGCATTCAGAGGATGAGCCACTCATTATAAAATAAAATTAGTGACATTTCCCACGAACTCCTTGATGGTGCTAGTCAGTTCAGTGGAACTGCCTGTCCCCGGGTTGGAGCCCCATCAAGAGTAGAGTAGCACCACAGCGAAATCAATAATTCCTTTTTAGTAGTAGAATCGTCAACTACGAATGCTTGGAGCACGATGCCACGGTCAAGAGGTGTTAATGTGGGCTTTCGAAATGCCCATCCCAATGGCGACGCGGCTCAAGCTCATGAGCTCGTCAAATTGGGGCTCACGCGTTATGTGCGGACGTGTCAGTTCGCGCACACAACCGCACCCGCGTGCACGTGCACGACCGCACATGGACGCACGCGCGCTTAGAGATACTGGCTAGCACATATGCAGGAAGGATCTGGAGATAAACGCCAGGGTCGCGTTGGCGTGTGCGTATGTGTGCGATCCGGAGTGGAATACGGCAATTGTCTCTGACGCTGGGGGCAACATTCTTCGCCTTTTTTTTCCACCTAACTCCCCCACGCTTTTGTACACAGGCCAATTGAACAGCCGCCATTTTTAATATCATCGTGTTAGCGCGTCATCTGGCAGAAGCCGCGTTTATTGAATTCCAGTCGTCTGTGGAAGATGTCTTCCAGCAACAAGTACCGGGTTGGAGGTAATTTCCCCAGCTGATTCAAGATGCGCCTTTTTCTTACTAGTAGCGCCTCTCTTTATATTTTACATTTGGAACTTTCATCTTTTTGGTAAAAACCACCTTCCAGTGGGGTCTTCTTGCCTTCGGAGTAGAGCCTTTCACCTTTAGGAGCCTCATAATTTTTGTCATTTTCTCTCGGCTCTTGGTACAAGTTCACGTCATAAATGACTAAAATGGTGGGGTTTTAAGTAATTTCAGATGTTTTTAGCGTGCTAGGAAGCGTCTTAGTTGACTTTTGACTTGGGTGTGGGAATGTCAGTATGAGGCTACTAAAGGTAACCGGGACCGTCTGTACTGAAGATCTGGAGTCGTAAAATTGCATTTTTTCTATTGACTTGATAAAACTGTAGCTGGATTTCGGCTGCATGTTTGCCTACGTCAGTGGAAGGGCCTACGGACTCGTTTATGTACCGTCATTTAAACAAGAAAAACATGTGTTCTTTTTTTAAGCCCACATTAACAGCAAACATAACATTGATTCTCTTCTTCACCCTCTACGTCAGTCTCTACCAGGATTTTGTGCTATTTACTGCTGTTCAAGATGAGTAAATTGCAGGCCGAATCTCCGTTGTGAATTAACTGCAACTAGAAGTGAGGCCGTCTAGGCTTTGATTCAGGCCACAGTCGCCGGTACTTCTTCTAATCCGTCCCTGTCATTCCAAGATTGGTTTGACTTATTCGCGACATTTGGCACTAACTTAGGTAGTTGCTCGTTAAAAATAGCAAATAGTGTTGGGTCGGTGGGCTGGATTTGTAGCTAAGCTCTCTCGATAAAGCGTTACCTCCTTCTATCTGATTTAGTAATCTTACTTTTTAATGCCCTTCGTAGATTTCGTGTACTTCGAAACGAATGCCACGGCTCCTTATCAAATCCGACGACTTGATGAACTTGTTATGGTACTCTTGAGGTTTCTTTCTTTTCGGTTCTCTCGCCCTTCTTTGCAAGGGGTGAAGTTAGTTTTTTCCCCTTTTCAGACTCCAAACGGCGTGGAAGCCAAAGTGACTTGCTACTTTCGACGACGTGACATATCAAATACTCTCATCCAGCAAGCGGAGAAGTATTGTGAGTGAAGTCTGTCGGCGGCCTTGGCTTTTATCGAATTTGCCCTAACTTATTTTTTCGACTTAAAAACTGGATTTTCTCTTGTCACCTCATGTTTACTTGATTAAACCAGTGGATGTGATTGTGCGTTGGATCCATTTGGTTTACAGATTTCCAAGAGACGGATGATGCCAGTGGAGAGACAACGCCGCCGCTGTCAGATCTCCAGCGCCATCAAGTCAAGCATAGGGAGCTTTTCCACTCCCGCACAATCGAATCCCTGCCTGCCACACACATCCGTGGTATGTTCTTTTCAAACTCCTATTAAGAGGGAAGAGATGTGACCCTTTCAAGGGTGTTTTGTCGATTATTTGTCAGTCTGAATACCAGTTTCAGCTAACTAATCTATACAGCCGGTTGGGAATTGGCAAGTCTAGGTTGTCTGGTAAAATTACTGTCACTGAAGCGGAGCTGTGTCTAATAACGGTCTGTCATCCGGAATCTTTTCCTCATTGTTTGTTTTCATTATAAGTTTCTTCCACTAATCTTCGTCATAGAAACGGGAAATGTAGCAGTGAAAAGGGTTTGACTAGTTTCTGGTGCGTCTTCTAATTTACATCAGTCGTTGCAGCAGCATCCCTGAGTATTTCAACTAGATATTATGTGGTAATGGTGGAATAATAGTGTTTTCTTCCGGTTCAGGTGTCGTAAATTTTTGGAAATAACTGCTTGCACCATCGCTTGTGCCATTCAAAACCATTATAATGGCGTAATGAGTCATGCACCAATTATTTGAATGAGCAGAGTAGAAGTTATCTAATCTATTGTATGGTGGATAAATTTGCCCATTTTAAATTCTCTCTTGCAGGCAAATGTACAGTGACCCTTTACAACGAAGTGGAACCCTTGACTTCTTACGTGGAACGCGAAGACGCCTTCTACTATCGCCTTATTTACGATCCTAACACAAAACGCCTCCAGGAGGATCGAGGCTCTATGCGAATCGGTTCGGACTTTCAGTGCGACATTCAGCCACTTCTGGCTAAAGGTAATTCCTGATGCTGAACGCTCGACTGCAGTTTAAGCCGCCGGCACAACTCATTCAGTTTTTTTCGTCTAGGTGAAGGCGATCCTCGTTTCAAACAGAATCTGGAGGAAATCCTATGGAACCCTTTGAATTCCCCCTCCCTCTCAGAAATGGATACATTCATCAGTGCGGTGAAAGCTGTTGGCCTCTATGGTCGTGCCTGTGATCCGGCTAGCAGTCTGCAGAATCCCCTCCTAATTAACGCAGCAGCTGCTGCTAGCCGGGATGTAACTCTTCAGTTCGCACACGACATCCTCTTTAGAGCTGGCTTCGATGTCCAGAAAGCCATGACTCACTTGCTACCTAGTACGTCCCTTTGTCGTTTTCGAGCCATTCAAGTGCTTCACCCTCTTCCAAACACCATCCTGGCTCCTTCATAGACGGCCATCCGGTGGTGTGCAAAGACGAGTTGGAGATGTGGACGGCACACGAGTCGTCGCTGTTCGAGGAGGCCTTGGGGAAACAAGTCAAGGACTTTACCCACATCCTCACCGACTCTCTGCCCTGGAAGTCTTCCAAGTCCATTGTGGAGATGTACTACTTTTGGAAAACTACTGATCGCTACACGCGTCATCGCAAGAACAAGATGGTCACCAAGGAGCAGAAACTCAAACAGGTCTACATTCCTGACTACAGCAAGCCGAACTCCTCTGTCCTCTACAACCGCACTGATGTCAACGATCGCGGATGCGAGTGCTGCTACGGTGCGCGTGCCTTTTCACATTGACTGGATTACGTTGGGAGGATTTCGATAGCCACTATAGTGATACATGCGACTACACATTCATTGTCCTACTTCATCATAGCTCAGATGGACCCCATTTTGAAGGAAATATTTCCTAAGGCGAATAGACGTTTTTTGTAGATCACGTCGCACTTGGTTGTGTCCTTCTCTTGTGACCTTGCAGTATTTTAAAAAACGGTCTCGTTCCATCCTCGTGCCGATGGTTCACATAGTTTTCGCGCATCCTGTTGTGGTTCCGAGGCTTCGGCTTTTAAAAGAAAGTTATATCACCATTCGCTTTGTGTTTGGGTTGAAGCTACGTCTGAACAAACGGGATTATCAATGATATTGCAGGAGAGATGAAACTATGGACAGCATGAAGCATTTATCATTTCTTTTTTAGTCGAGACGTCGCCTCAGTGGTACGCCTGGGGTCCGCCCAACTTAATGTGCCGCCTTTGTTCAGGATGTTGGACCTACTGGAAAAAGTACGGAGGCCTGAAAAATCCCGACAAGAGAGGTATGTACATTCCTCTCGGAGGAGAACCAAACAAACTGCATCCTCCGTACTACTACTCCTACTACTACCAACACCTTTCAATGCCTGCGTGTTCGTTTCCATTCCATTGATCTCGCCTCATCTCTCCTCTTCTTAGCGTACCTTTATTTTGTGCTATTATTATCGTCACCATCATCACTGTTGTTCCTGTTCTCATTCTCTCATTTGTATGCTTCTTCTCATCCCAAAGGTGCCCCCGTAAATTCACGTCCGTCCCCCGAACAGCGCGTCCAAGGTGATTTATGTTCATTTCTCCCTCTATTTCTACTCCTGTGTATGTGCGTGTATCTGTGTACACCTGCAATTTTCCTCTGCGCTTCTGCATCGCTCCGCTTTTCTCCTCTCCCCCTCCTCCCATTCGCCAGGTGTCCTGCATGACCTGTTTCAATCACCAGCAAAACTAGAGCATTTAGCCTTACCAGAGAAGAAGCCTTCTATTTCCTTCTTATACGTGTTCGCCATCCTAGATCGTCTCGAGGCGAGGAAGTCGGCAGCAGCGGCTGCAACAGCCTCCACAAACTCATCCTCCTCAATAGAAGGTAGCGGTGTGGGTCACCAGAAAGCACCTCCCCTTCACCCCTACTCCGACATCAGTCTCGCCCCCACCGTCTATCGATGTAACCAACCGGACTGTGTCAAGGAGTTTCGCAGCAAAGAAAATTTTGCTATCCATCTTGCTCAGGTGGTGATTCTCTCCTACTCTTTTCTTCGAAAATTCTAAGACAATTTTGCAAGTGCTCATTTTTCCCAAGGTCCACAGCGTGACGCTCATTTCTGACGGCTCATCAAACATCCCAGTGGCTCTGGCCGCAGCTGCCGGTGTGTTTCAACACGGCGCAGGCACCCAGGGCATCCTCACACCGCCCTCTATTCGCATCGTCCGCACTCTTTGTCCGCTTCTTCTGCGTCCTGCCATTCTTGCTCGTCGGCCCACGAAGCTCGCCAATTCGACTGCCCAGCAGAGGTCGCCCTCTGAGCCCATCATACCCACCGATGATCTCATGGTTCGTCTCGGGAACCTCGGTAGGCCACACTTTTGTTTGCTCTTTGTAGCCGAGCTGTTATCTCTAAAACCCCCTCCCCCCATTTTCTCCAGCCAAATCGAGGATTCCAGCCTTGCGAGACCCGCAGGCCGTGTTGAAACGCAAGCTTCCAGTACGCTCTCTGAAATCGGTGGTCAAGAAGTTGCTTCTCCGGTTGGGCCGAAATGATGACTCTGCCATCATCACTGCCCCTTTCAAACGTTCTTTCGATTCCGCATCGATAGCCCAGAATGGAGATGCCGCAAACGGTGTGGAACAGCCTGCGGAAAAGAGGCCGCGAATAGAATCTGTAGCTCAGAATTGCAGCAGTACCAATGGGCGAGTCGTGAGCTAGATTAATCAAATCTGTTTTAAGGGGTTCTTTCACTTCCCTCCACCCCTGTCCCCCCTTCCACTTCTCGGTCCCTTTGTACATGGTCCCTTTACATGTTTGTTCCTACCCTTGTTTTGTCCCTACTGCCTAGCTGTCTCTCTTCGGCTCTTTGGGCGAGCGACGAGTTCAACTTTCCACAAATTGGTATTCCTCTGTACTCTCTCTCTCTCTCTCTCCCCATCCACGCGACTGATATAAACGTGTTTTGCAGTATGTACACTTTTTTGTGACAGGATTTGTCGGAATCAATTTTTTTGTGATACATCTGGGTACCAGCATCTCCTGAGCCTTACGTCGATCGGGGTTCAATCGTCTTGCCACCTTCTACTTTAGGAGGTCCGATTTTACCGCCGTCAGTGACTTGGTGGGTGAGCCACTTTAATCTCTGGTCTGGATTCCCACATTTAGGCCAAATGCCATCTCCCTTTGGCTTTGTAGACTTGAAGGCGACCAAATTCAAGTGTCTAAAGACCACTACCCCACCTCTCCGAGTTTGTGTGGCTCAACGGAACTGTTGATTGCCGCCCTCCCTCCTCTCATCCAAACCCGATTTGAGCGCACTTAAGAGCATCCCATCAATTTTCATTGATTTGCGGAACCACTGGTGCCTACGCGATAGCCATGTGACTTCCGAGACGGATCGCCTTTCTTCAACCCAATGGGTCTATGCAGTGCCCCCGATTTTGCATCTGCATCGCGCTCGCTCTCTCTCTCGTCTTAACTGCGTTGCAGCGAGATTATCGATTTTTGGTGTTTGCTTATTCACGTGCTGCCGCCTGATTGGTTTACTCGCCCCCACGCACACACGACGCACGCGCGTAATCAGACTTGGCTAAGTCGTGTTATGACGTTTTAAGAAACACCGAAGTAGAATGTAAGAGCATGGTAGGTTGAGATATAAGCCCAAGGTCGCAGGGCTAGGCCTAGGGCTCATGGGTGAGTTGGGATCGACTCCTCAATCTCGAGGTTTTTCTTGTGTGAAAAGTGGTGGGATGGCGCTCTTAGCGGTCGCTCTTCATACTCCCTTCGTATTGTTGAAAACCGGTAAGGTTGGAGGGGAGGATGGGGGAAGGTTTGGGGTGTCTGGCGGTACTTTAACTGAAACTGTGCTAGCTGTGTGGTAAAGCGGGTGGAGCAAAAAACCAGCCTCAATAGCAGTGTGGAGGCCTCACATCTCTCATCGTTCTCTCCCAAGACTCGGTTTTCGTGCGTGAATGCTCTGCAGATAATGCTTTATGGACGATCTTGGGTTGCCTCTAGGAAGCGGGTAATCTCGAGTGCGATCCCCATCTGTATTGAATCTAGCTGACATGGGTGGTTGTCAAACCGTAGTGGATCGATATTTGGTTCACTGTCCTGGTGATGGATGTAACCAACTCACAACACGGCAAATGAGACGCATACGACACAAACTGTCCCTAAGGTCATCGCGGTCCTGTCATAGTAGTGACAAATACGAGTTCCTTTTCCGCCAACATTCATTACCCCCTGTAACTAGTTTGTTGTCTGCAGCTTGCGTACGAGGTTATCACATTTCTTATCACCAAAAAAAACTGAATGCGTATATGTGTGTGCATTTTCTGTCTTTTTTTCACTCAGTTCCAGAAGGTTTTTGTCCACAGGCAAGGAGGAGGGAATTTCCACATAAGTGTAATTTTATGGGGCTCTTAAAGGTAGTCCGTAAATTTTGCACTTATATTAGCAAAGCAGATGAACATACGCGGTTCTCACTTCTCACATTACTCTCCAACCACTTTAATATATTCATTCTCTGTACTACTTTCTCTGCGTCGATTGATGACTTGTGAGCGGCAGGCATATTTCCCAGACCTGTTCGCTCTTGATAAGGAGTTATGGAAAAAGCATATATGTGAATTATTTTACCAGGCATAAGCATTCAAATTGAAGGAAGCACGAAATTGAAGAGAATTTTTCGCAAAAAAAACCTCCTAGTCTTAAAAGGCTAGTGGAAATGCCTCTCCGGTAGGAAAGCACATGGCTGATGAGGCTCATCAAGGTGAGGCACACGACGTGATAACTTTACTGTACTGTAAAAGTGCGTGAGGGCGCCTGTGCGTGTGCACGTGTGGGGATTTTGAAGCAAAAAAATGTCATTTGTAATTCAATCACAGATTGACTTGTGGGAGAAGGTGGTCCAGGGAGAACATTTCAAAAGAAGGTTTTGGAATTTCCACGAGTAGAGTATATTCGACTGTAAATAGCTCATTTTTGTTTAAAAGACAGTCTTTAACAGTTTAACCAAACAGGCAGACGGAGACTGCGTGATAGTGAAGTCGGTAGAACGGAGCAGTTTTTGTGCAGAGGGTCTAACTCTCGTAAACTGATCCAGCTTCTTGTTCAAAACCTTCCACACCGGGATTTACTAGAGAGCCTATTGATTTCCTCTCCTTCACCCTCCTGACTATGAAGCTCCTTTTTTTTAGCAGAAGCATCGAGGAGTGTCCTTGACGCACTTCTTCCATCGCAGTGGCTAGTCACGTATCACATCATTCGAAGTTCTGCAGGTCCAACAAAAAAAAATTATTCGCTTCTTAAACAATTCACTTCCAGCGGTTCTTATGACGGGATTTTAATTTATTACGATGGTTCCATGGTGTTTGTAAATTCGGTGCTAACGTCATTCTCAAGACCCGAAGTGAGGGCATTTTGCAAAATCCACGTAAGGTCATGAATAACTGTTTAAAAAGGACGTGTCTCATTAAAACAGGTCTTATTCGGTCTACTTTCATTCGCATAAAAGCGCACTTTTTTCGAGGGGGAAGGGGGGGGAGGGGAAAGGAAGAGTGCCCCAACGGCAAACATGGGAAGGCTACAGCAACAGATGAATGACCTTGAAACGTAGTCATGGTTGAACACACTTGTGTTATAATAAATGAAAGCCTTGGAGTCAATAAATCCGCGCACTTCTGAGTCACAACTTCAAATATATTCCAGTTGGATTGTATCAAAGGTCATTTCATACCATTCTCATTTGCTGCAAATCCTAGCCACGTAGCAACTTGGTAGGGAGACGGTTAAGTGAGGCAATCACTACTTATTTGGCAAAATGAGTAGTATTTAAAGCCGTGAGTCGGTAAATCTTGATTAAGATGAATTACTAATAGTTAGTGTTCCGCATGATGCTACTTTATATCAATCAAATTCCTCTTACTTGATTGATGTCAAATGCATCCACTAATTAAGCGAAAATGTTTACTTCTTGGCGATTCATGTCATGTTAAACAGTCATAAATTCTCACCTCAACACATTAACACTAATTTAAATACTTACTTGTTTAATACACGTTCGCTGGAGGGTCAGACTCCTCCGTTCCATCCATTCTAACGTGTAATTTCGTCAAATTTTCTTAATCCAGGAGCACACCTTCGACTGGGTGAATGCATGCTTAGTCACCTCTGAGGCTCCAAAAGGTGGTGTTTCTTTGTGTGTGTTTAGTTTGTGCTTATGTATGTGAGACTGGCACCCGATGGTAGTAACAACGCCACCATTATGTGCATCTACTAAGCCTTCCAAGGTACTTCAAACCGCCCGATTGGTAACAGGTAAGCGGGGCAGAAAATACCATCATTTCCACAGGGTTGAGAGACACATCCCAGACGTCGAGTGCATGACTGTTTTGTTCACATTCAGTTGGTTGAGTCAATGTAGCCACTTTTAGTACCTTCGGTGGAGACGACTTTGTTTTGATATGCCTCAGTAAGGGAAGGCAGCCAAATTAATAATGGGAAACATGGGAAGTACAAAAAATGGCCAAATGACAACCGAACGACAGGGGGAATAATTAATGATGCTTTTCCATCCAAAGTGATTCCAAGACAGTAATTTTAGGAAGACGACAGTTAAACCGTGATAGGATCGCAAAAAATAGAATCAGAGCCACTGCCAAAATGGTGAAAAAAGACTTAAAATAATGTGAAAAGTGACTATATCAAACAGCATAGGTATTATTCTAGAGTTAATAGTCCATACCTCTGTACCACACTTTCCCCTTCCACATTTGTTGATTCAATATTCACTCCCTTCGACTCCTCCTTCTGTCATCACGCACCTCGCTGTCAGAATCCACTATTTTGTTTACAAAAATCTCACACAAGTGACAACATTCTCCCTTACGCAT